TCCCCCTTGTGTTGGTGTCACAGACCTGCAGCCCCATCTACTGTCGCGCCACACAAACGGAGCAACAAATGCGCACAAGTCTGTGGGGGGGGGGAGACTGTGTCTTATCCCCACAACCGGGGAGGGGAGGAGGGGGGACAGTGGTCAAAGGGAACGGCAATGGATTTTAGGGCCCTTCCACCGGCCTCATCTGGGGGTTGCAACACCCTGGATTCATGCGGCGAATTTTAATGTAATCTGATGTTTAATAACAACTTTAGGGATTCTGCGTTTAGTTTCTCTGATTTAGTAAATACAACAAGATGACAACCGCTACCACGCACACAACTTAATGGCAAACGGCAGAAGACACAAAAAGCTCACCAACAACGCGGATTGCAATCCCTTCATCCTCTCCACCTTCTGCTGCTTCTTCTTTCTGTCCTTCTCTAACGTTCACAACCGACTCACCGAGGGATCTTTGGCTGCACGCAAACGTCACGCCGGCCCCTCCGTATCTGCACGGGTGTAAACTGCACAATTACCAGCGCTGGAAGTGGCTGTGTTTTTTCCTTCCCCGATCATTTTGACGAGCGGGTAATGAGTTCTGTCTGACAGAGTGAAACTGGCCCAGCTGCAGCTCTGCAGGTGAATGATGTCTTCTGCTTCCTGGCTGTGAAAGGCCTCTGTGTGGTCCCAGTTTCTTTACATCATACCAAAGGTCCCCGCGTTGGGAACCTGTCATCCACGTTGCCATTTGATATTCAAGAATACTTAGTTGATTGTTGACATTACCAAATGACCTTTTTTTGTTTTTGGTACCGTGTGTGTGTGTGTGTGTGTGTGTGTGCAAAGCTTCTGTGGAGGTGTATAGTGTCCACAGCTGTGAGGTAACTGCGCCTATAATCTGTCTCACCAGAACTGTGTAACCCGAGTTAGAGTGAGGTTAAGGGTCAGTTATTGAACTTGAATTACACCGGGAGAGGCCTCCCCCGGCCCCTCACCACCTCTCTCAGCCACCCTGTGGGGTTTGTTTGTTTTCTCCCCCAGTCTCTCCCGGAGCTTACCCAGTCCTCTGTAATGAGTATTTAATACACACCCTCAGACATGTTTACACTGCATGTAACAGCACCGGCCGTGTGATCTTGCAACACTCTAAGACATGTGTGTCAAAGTACATGCTGGTGCATCTGTGTGTTTGTGCGTACGTATACATGCATGCATGCTATTGCCTTTCATTCCATCTCCCGCCCTCTATTTGCCTCTTTTCTGAAGTCTGTAGCCCGAGGGGAAGAACACCTGCCAGCATTTCTTTTTTCATCCCTCCTCGATCTCGGATAAGACAATTGAAGCAGTAGAAGTGTTTGGTTACGGGCAGAAACACAGCGCGGAATGAGACATATTAAAGCCTCCCCTGTCTCGCCCACAAGGTCGCTGCGACTCTCCAGGTGTGAATAATGTCAGAAAAACACATTTTTGTGTCAGTAGAGTCGGGGGCCGGGGAGCAAAAGAGCCGCAGCGTTTTTCTTTAAACTCATAATTCGACCTGAACCACAGGCCCGGGGCCCCCTCTGCAAGCTGTTAAGTTTTTAACATATCATTTTTCACTGCACATGTTCCGTGTTATGTTAGTTACCAGGAATTTGGATTGAATGGACAATGAAGTTCCTGAACCTTGAGAGAAGGATTATTCTTAATCGCAAGCAGAGCAGAGCCACCGGCGCCGGAGGAGGGGGGGGGACACGAAGTTGTGCCACAGCACTCTCTGTTGGCGAACTTGGTGCACCGTCCCATTAGAAGCCTTGAAAGCCCCAGTTTGGCTTTGGTCTTTTTATAGGCAAGAAACCACATCCCCGGTGTCTTTGAAGAGCTCGTATTCACTAAGTAGTAGTTAGGCCTGCCAGTACTTACTCACTATTTTATAAGTACGAGCGGTAGAGCAGCTCTTTGAACTGAGGCCATTTAGGATCCCAAGGCCGATGGTTTCATAATACAGAAGTAAATAGACTATAGTCACATAATTAGCAGGGAAGCCTGTGAACTACTGCGTGGTTTCCCTTCGCACAGGTGCACAAGGGAAATGGTGGAAACCACTGGGCTCCATAGGCTTTAATCCCCAGCATCCAGTGAGTTGATTTTTCACACATTGACACATGCTATATACACACACAGCAGAACCTCTATGGCGATGTGCACCGCAGGCTGGAGGCACATCCGGGAAGTAATTGTCAGAAGGGTATTTGCAGCCACGCTAGTGTCGGGTCCCTCAAACCACACCAGAAAGCACACAGGAAACGATTACATTTTGACCAATAAGGCCTTTGAATTATAGTCAAATTATAACCACTTAAGTGTGAGTTTAGCAGTATCCGGGATTACAGAATCTATGGCTGATACGTAAGACATTTCACAAGCACTTTGGTGGGTTATTTTAATGTTTGTTATTGAACAAATCGTATAAAGTGAAATGTTAACATTAGAACATTTAAAGGCACCGCCAAAGGAATCATTCCATTTGAGAAGTGGGAAAGGGATTTAAGTTAACTCTCTTTGCAATGCATTTGTGTCTTTTGTGATATTTTTATATAAGCAATGATGAATTATTGGAGTGAAGGTTTCATTCAGGTTGGGGTAACATTTTGCTCACATGTTGATAAAAATGTGTCATCTGTGGGAAATTCGCCGTACCATTTATACCAGTTACTTCTTCACAGTGAAATCTGTATTAACACAATGTGTCAGCGAGCAGAGCGACCTTATGACCTCAGACCTTATGTGATGAAGCAGCCTTATTTTTTCAAACGGAAATGCCAAGAAAATACATTCTCCTCCTTGGTTTTTAAAAGTTTTTTAATGATTTTCTTTAAGATTTTGTGTCAAAGTGGTTTCTTGTGCTTCAACAAAGTTGTGTCTGTGATGTTTTTCCTGCTAAATATGTCAAACACACATTATGAAAATAATTCACAGAACAAGATTTAATACCGAATGCCCGATGGTGAGCCAAGCTCAAAGGCTGTTTATTCTGGACGTTCATGGTAGTTCTTCTAAGTGCACTGGCGGCAGATGTCCAGAAGATGCTGCCAGTGCTCTGCGGGACTGAGTGTGGGTTCATCGAGAGGACAGAGCCAGCCTCAACTTCAACAGACCTTCTGCCATTCCCCAAATCTCACGCTGCAGCAACGCGGCCCTGATTTACCGGAAGGGATAAACGGATTCTAAAGGAAGGACTCAAGCTGTAGAAACATCTCAGCCGGTCCGACTGTGTGTAGATCACTTCCAAAAACGTTTCTCTTTCGTTTTTTTCTTTCGGGTTCATCTGGTTTATTCGTTCTCGGACGCCTCCTCCCGTAGTCGAACAGCTGAAATGGCTTTGCCATCGTTTCTGAAGCAGCATCAACGCACCACGCTACGTGCGGCGTCACGTACACGACATACAACAGGTCAGTCTGACTCTGCACTGCAGGAAGTCCGCGGTCCAATGCCACGGCCTCCAGGGGACAGGAAGCGGTTCCAAACCCGCGAGATCGACCGTCTCCACCGAGTGGGCCGCTCGGCCAAGAACTCTGTGAAACCCAAATTGGGACATTTGAGTAGTTTTGGATCTAGTGATTAAGGAACGCTGGACCTCTACAGTTTATTTGTTTCTACAAAAAGGAAAGCAATTTACTTTGTTTAGAATAAACTCATTTGAAAAGCTCTGTTTCCCTGAAAGAAGGTAATTGGACATTTGTGGTCAAAGTGCTTTCGAGTACACCGACAATCCACTTATTTTGTCCTCACTGTCGGCCGTTCTCCCTCACTCGACGGTGCTGTGGCTGATTTCGGAGCTAGATGGAAGCGCATGGGCGATAAGACGAATGAGGAGAATCTGAGGCAGCATAACGACTAAAAAACATTTGTCTCCGTGTTGCTGTGAGCACTTTCGCTGCACCTTTTTCTTCATACGAGTGCCTCGACTGCGCTCGGGGCCCGGCCCCCGAGCTGTCAATCAATCACTAATGACAGGAGACCAACTCAAACAAACTACCGTTACAGCTGACACCAGAAGTGCCACTCAGAGTTTGACATGTGTGATGGTCACTGACTGACTGAGGACTCCCGTCGGCACCGGAGAGAACCAGGGTGGTACAAAGCCCAGATGGGCTCTGTGTTTTATTGAATAGGAAATAAAGACAAAAAAAAAAGAATAAAAAAGGCGCCCAATGGCGACTCTTGACTAAAAGAACTGTACTGGACTCTTTTCAAGAAGCGCCTGTGAACCATGAATCTCTTTACTACCCAATTATTCCCTCATATTGCATTTCAATACCCCCCCCGCCGCACAAATTGCCTTAATATTTTAAAACCTTTCGGAGGATACAATAATGCACCTCTGTTGGACATCTTTTTAGCAATCTGAGGGATATTTTATTGGAACGCACGCCCTCTGACACTGCAGCATCGTTGCATCCACCCACCTGTGATGGGCTCTGGATCTATGTGCCTCTAGAGGGGAAGTTATCCTCGCCGCGTGCTGTGCAAAGCAATAAGGTGCTCGCTTTTGAGGAGCGACGAGATGAGATCCGTGCTTAATGCACGCTAAATCCACGTAATGATCCATTTCACGGCAGCTCAAGACCAGATGTATCTCCAATTGCTTTGCTTTGGCCATAAAACAGTCAAATTGAATGTCGAGTCTAAAGAAATACGCGTGATAATTTCCCAAACCAACAATAACCAGACATCACTGTTGCGTGCACCTGCTTTGAGGATAAAGGGCTGTTTCTCTTCTCCACTCCATTTGCTGCTCCTCTGATAAAAAAAAAAGGAAAAGGCCCCCGGGGCCAACTTCTTGTCATCATCTTGCCTCGGACGCACGGAGGCGCTAGACCCCTTCGAGCACGGACCCTGTCCCCGCATCGACTTGGACAGCGTGAAACCCGACGTGTAACTCATTCATCTCCCCCTCCCCTCGTCTCCCTCCCTGCCTGCCTCCCTCCCTCCCTCTACCCCTTATGCTTTTAGCCGCATGTCGCTCAGTCTGTGAGTGACCGCGGTCCGCTGCGCCCGCGTTCCCGTCTGCACAGCTCTCCGAAGCCGAGACGCGCGTCGACGCGGGCATGAGCCGCTGGGCTGCAGGGTAGAGGGCTTCCGTCCGCCGGCTTCTGAGCAACATTACGAGCGCAGGGAGCGGACCAGCGACCACAACAACGACAACACACACACACACACACACAGAGAGAGAGAGAGAGAGAGTGTGTGTTAGTGACTCATTTCCAGCACTGCCGCGCGTCGAGAGCAGCAGACGAGCCAATGGCAGGGGCACAGCCGGGAGTCCACGCGCTGCAGCTCAAGCCCGTGTCCGTGCCCGAGAGCCTGAGAAGGGGCAACAAGTTCATGAAATGGGATGATGTAAGTAGTGGCGAGACGGCTCAATCAGCACCTCTTCCTCTCTGTTTCCTGCGCGCTTATCATTTCTGGACGCACACGCCACCGGAATCGTGCCGCGGCGCCGCGGTGCGCACGCGGCGCGCTCCTGGCGGTCGCAGCGCGCCGCGCGCCGGGTGATCCGCGGAGAAATGCGGCGTCCGCCGGCATGTGCTGTGTTTACCTTTGACCGAAGTACAACGCGCGCGCGGGTGGATGTGCATGCGCGCGCGCGAGAGAGAGAGAGATACTGCTTGACCGCATGTGCGCGTGTTTGAGAGAATGTGCGCGCTGCTCGTTAAACAAGGTTAAATATTTGAATTACCCCTCCCCCCTCCCTGGCAACGTTTAGTTATTATTTATTTATCTTTACTTTTCTTATCAATTAACTGAAATGAATTGGCTGAACCGCGCATGCGCCACAGTGACCAGCGGGCAGGAGTGTGTAACGAACGTGCGTCGTTGTGTTGTCATCCGTCCGTACTACCGGCTGTCTAGACGCAGTGAAATGACCTTGATTCCGATTGATTGCACGCTGCTGTTGTGTGTGTGTGTGTGTGTGTGTGTGTGTGTGTGTGTGTGTGTGTGTGTGTGTGTGTGTGTGCGCGCGTAAACATAACAGTACAGTGCGACGGCTGTGACGCACTGCACCTCCCGCAAAACAACAATCAACGCATGTCTTAATAGGCGCGTGTGCGGGACCGACCGCCCCCCCCCCCCCCCAGCTGTTGCACCTCAAACTGAACCGTCAACTGAGTGACCTGCTTGTTGTGTTGTTTTCCTCCTCCTGTGCTCTGCCTGTAATCGCTGATGGTGAAAATGACACTCTGTGATATTTGTTATTACATATTTGAATAGCACTCCTCTGGTTCCTCCGAACCTTTAGGCCTCTTCATGGGGTGCGAGCGTGATTACTTTTCTTGAAAAGCCGAGCGACAGATATGCACAGTTATGGTCTGGTTGTGTGGAATGAACCACAGGATGAAATGTCGTTCAAATATCACGTTGGAGACAAATCCTACACGCGGATCCGCGCAGACTTCCAGGCTCTGGTAAGAGGCACGAGTGACATTTAGAAACACACCAGCTCGTCTTGGCTAATACACGGTGAAATAATCCGTATTCATAGAGCTCAGGTGGATCCACCACCGCGCAGATGCCACCGCCGAACGCGTGTTATGAGAGTGTGAATGTGGCCGTTGCAGATGGCAGCGAGGGAATTATGCAAACCCACCACTCTGTCAATCATCAATCTGAAGCTCAGATAGGAGAACCGGAGTATTTCAGCAGTAATTCCCTGCCTTGGTATGTTGTGAGGAGGGGGGAGGGAGGGGGGGGGGGTTGTGGGTCTGCGTGTGTACCATAAATCTGCACATGTGTGTCCAGAACCAAATGCCCACCAGGCCTTTCCTGTGAAAACACGCGGCCGTGTGAGCAGATACTCGGTTTTCCCGCTGGAAATTGCTTGTTCCCGTCGACAGTTCCACGAAAGAGTTAAAGTGAAGCCCGGGGGGGGCGTCCTGGTGGTGGTGGTGGTGGTGGTGGTGGGTGGTGGTGGGGGTGAAGCTGCAGTACATCGTCAGGGAAAAAGGATTGGATTAAATCACTCTCTTCTTATCTCGGCCGCGGTTGTCGGGCTTCACTTTAACTCTTTCCTGGAACAGACGACTGAACAAGCAATTTCCATCGTCTGAACGCTGGCGAGCAGACGGGATATTTGTTTAGTTTGTTCTTGTGAAGACTATAGATTTTTATCCGACTGCGCTTGGAGGCAGAAAATGTTGTTGAGTTTTGTTTACTGTGTAAAGTGGGGGAGGGAGGGGAGGGAGGGGGGGGGAGTGTTCTGTACTGTCAGCAGCCGTGAGTTTGTCGGACCCTGAAGCTCTGCAGACCCCAGCGCACGCCGCTGAAACGCAACAGAGGAGCAATCAGAAAACCTCTGAAAAAGGCCTGTGAGATCCTCAGTGTCACAACGCCTCCCCCCCAAATAACCGCACACGGACGCACACGGACGCTGTGGTTTGGGGTTTGGAAACACGGGATGAATTTAGGGAGTCACTGATCAACCCTTTACATTCCAGACACCGGTACTTATGTATTAATAATTAATGAGCCGTGTGAGTGGGGTCGTTGTGTAGGGCGACACCACGGTTGACTTCAACATCGCTCTAGTTTGTTAAGCGCAGGATGCCCCATCCGGCTATTTGAGTCAGTATCGGGCCGATGTCATGTCGGTGTAAGTTAAACTTGAGGTCCGATGCCTCATTAGAGAGCGACGTAGAAGAAGAAAATGCCCCCCGGAGCCTTTTGGAAAAAGACGTTTGGTCCGACGGACTCGTTCACATTATCGTTTGTCTGATATTATCTCGGAGCCTCACAGGCCTTAAAGTAGTAGAACATGTCGTTAGCATAAAAGGCACAAATCTCCTTCCTAGGACCCCCCGCCCCCCCCACACTCCCCCCAGGCGATGGCTAATGGTACAAAGCTCTCACTGACAGGTTGGGTGCCTCGGGGGGGTTTGTACTTAAACAAGTTGGTCACTATAATCTCGTGAAAATTCCGCAAAAAAAGGCGGGCGGGCGCCGGATGTCTCGCCGTTAATGACAAATCCTCGTATATAGTCTCAGCAAACCAGCCCCCCCCCATTGTAATCCACAGAGTGATAAGCACATGCGTTTTTCGCGCACGTGGATACCCATGAGAAGCGTTCGCTAAGAGTCCGTAATGGCTTAATGTGTTTGTGGCGGCGCCCACGGGGAGCGAGGCCATTAAGAGAGACGCCGGCGAAAAACGACTTCCGTCGCATCGTTAGGCGGATTCACGGATCTCTCTCTCTCTCTCTCTCTCTCTCTCTCTCTCTCTCTCTCTCTCTCTCTCTCTACGACATCGCCGGCAATCCATCAACCGCCACTTCCTCCCCTCAGAGGACGCGGCGACCCGTCAGGAGGACGCGATGCCACGTGTCAAAAGATTGAAGACGTGGATGGTGCAAGTTGCCGTACCAGCACGAGGCCCGTCACACGGGGTCACCGCCGAGCGGACCGTTGGCCGCGTCTCCCGCTGGCCGCCAGAGGCGACGTCATTAGAGGCCTCGGCGAAGGCGCACTTTGAAGATTTCGCCGCTCTGTCCGTCAGCCGGGCCCGATGGCGGAGGACGACGCGCTGCTGCTGCTGCTGCGTGGGACGCAAAAAGCAAAGGCGCTTTTCTTTTTATAGAAGCGTCCGATACTATCTGCCAGCGCCGTGCATGCCTCAGGGTCAGACCGCGTGTGCTGGTGCGTGTTTGGCAACTGTGGAAAAGCGTTTGTCCGCTACCGGAGGGGGAGAGTTGCGTGGAACGACCCGTGTGCGTCTCGAGTGACTTGTTTCGTGATCGATACTTCAGATAAAACACACTCATGCACTCACGCGTGTCTTCTTCTTTGTCTTCCTCCAGGACTCCACGACTGTGACCCCGGTGACTCTGACAGTCGACCCCAAAGGCTACTTCCTGTACTGGACCGACCAGAACAAGGTGAGACTCCACCGCCTCCAAGCCGGGCAACCGGCGAGCTCGCCCGCCCGAGACTCTTTCCGCGTTCTTAACTTTAAGTCAACCTGAGAAGCTCAAGCAGCGAGACGCCGCACCACGCCTCTGGGCCCCACGCCGAGAAAACGGCGCTCTCATCACCTTTGAAACGTCAAACCACCAACTCCCCCCCCCCTCGGGGGTCGCGTGCTGGTCGCGATGAATGAATGAGGAATGTGGCGTTTTCCGCAGTGCCTGAATGCTCCCGTCGGGGGTTGGGAAAGGAATTACCACCGTCTTCGGGAAAGTCCGACTCCTCGTCGGCAGATGAAAGCGAACGAATTGAGGGAAATGCAGCTTCACAATGTGGGTCACAATGTTTGAAAGTCTGCCAGGACTTCAACCGCGCACAGGAAGCTGCTTGGAACTTACAAAAGGTCATCGTGCGCTGCGGCGTTGTCACATGGCAACGCAATCGGCGTTCAGCGGTGAGACGTTTTAAGGTTCGGAGTACGAGCTCGTCTAATTAGAATGTGCGCTTCACTGAACCCGGCTTTCATTCATAATCTTAGCGGGTTTCTCCCTTTTAAAAGAGCAGCGTTGGAAAGGAAAAGAAAAAATAAAAACACGGAAATCCGAACTGCTGCACCTGCTGCGCTCAACTCGACACCTGTGAGAATATTCCATAGAGCATTGTGTTTGCTTTTTATTCTTCCTGTTTGCGCTAACAAGGAACAAGGAACAAGGCTGTGAAATGCGAGATACCCAACGCTATCTGACTGTGTAACCTTGTCAATCATGTGACTTCCCCTCCGTTTTGACCTTCCACCGCGTGGGGCCCGGCTTGTCGATGGCGGCCGCGCTCGGACTGGCCGTTGTTTGCTCTGTGCTTTATCGTACGCGAGCGTACGCGCAGCTTGGACGCCGCCCGCCCAGCGGCTCCGTCGGCGACGCGTCGGCTTCCTCTTCTCGTCGTCGTGTTTGTCTGCGTCAGCAGAGGCAATCGGCGGGAGACTGATTAATAGCTACCGTTGATTTGATGTTTTACTAGATGAGGATATTCCGCCTGCAGCCGTGTGAACAGTCAGAGGTGCTGAGCTGCAGAGGTGCACGCCGCGGGTGGAAAAAGCAAAGGCCTGTTTTACAGTTTCTGTCAGACAGACAGAAGAGTCTTCTGGAATGCGTATCTGGCGTGTGTTTACTTCCGTCGGCATATTTAATCCTGAACAGGACGGGGGGGGGTTTTGTACGCTTGTGAGTAGGGAATGAAACTTAAGAAGCCTGCAGCTACGGAGTTTCACGCGTAGTCAATCACGTTCACGAGGAAGTGGCAGAAACCGGGTCTCCTCAAATGGCCACTTGAGGCTTTGTCCAAAAGCGAGCCAATCCCCTTTCGTCCCGCGGGTTAACCATTAAACATGCACTCCCGTTATATTGCCTTTTGTGCCCTGCAGCCTTTTGTGAATGTCTTCAGTGTTTGTTCAGCTATGAATAGTGTGAAATGTCCGTTATTTATATAATGAAAACTATTTACCAAAGTCGACAGTGCGAGTGCGACCTCGCAGGAGGGTTGTGCACAGTCTTCAGGATGTTCAGTTTTGTTTGATAATCTCACCTTTAAAGTTCATGAATACATATATTTTGCGTCATGCTCCATCTAATGGCAGTTTCCTGGCTCTCACCTTTCTCCCTCCTGATGAGTTTGCATGCATGCACATAATAAACTAAATTGATCACAAGCACTTGCATGGACAAAACTGTTTTTGGACATAGAGAATATTCCACGACCGCGTATGCTTCCATAAGGACGTCCCGTCTGAGGCTTCTCCTTGATGGTACGGCACATCTGCTCAGCAGACCGGTTTGAACGAGCTGTCCAGTCTTTGTGTGTGTGTGTGTGTGTGTGTTGGAGACAGATGCCTGCAGAGTAAAAGCATTCCTCGGATTCTTCAGAAGCACAGCAGGACTGTGCGTCTGTGCCCACCGGGCTCCCTTTCAAACTCGTGTTGTCACCCACGAATTTTACTTTTCTCATATTTGAGCGTTAAAAACCTCAATTAAAACCCGTGATTTACTTTCTGTATTTATTGAGTCTAAAATAAAAGGGTGATAATGGTGGGTATCGTCCTTGAGGTCATTTTAAGTACTTAATTACTTTTGACTTTCGGACAAAAGATGGTTGTATCACGAAATAGAAAGTAATATTTACAACATACAGTTTAGCAAAAGCTGAGCTTGAAATTTGAGGCTGCACAAACACAAGTAAGCTGATGCTCAATGAACAGCTGAGCTTTTAGCATTGATGAACAATCGCCATCGTCTGACATTAGCTGCCTGTCATTGTTGAGGGGCTAGCAGTAGAATTAGCGCAGCGGTGCTAATTCGACAAGCAGTAATACACATTTGCATGACCGGAGGCTTACTACTGACCTGCTAATCAGTGACTTTGTGCACAACGTGTTGGCTGAAAAACACCGAGAGCGGGAAAGAGGGAAGAGGGAAAGAGGGGAGGACATTGCCTTTTCCATCTGATCATGGAGCGTGATCTGACCCAGCTGTGTATTCCAGCAATGTCTTAAGGTCGGAACGGCAAAGTTTGGTTTTGACAGCAGCGAGGACCCGACGCCAAATGGCTTCAGCCGCGCTGTTCTTTGCCCTTTCTTCCCCCCACTGGCCTCTCAGCTGATGACTAAGCATCGGCACAATGAGCCGTAAGTGTCAACGCGGCCTCGGGTTCAAGCACGTGTTATTTTGGGGAAGGCTTGTCAGAATAAGCAAATTTAAAGGGCATCCAAAGGGATTAAAAACAGCTGTGAACAGAGTAAATTATTCCGTGAGCTCTTTGCTGATATGTGAACTCGTGCAGGCGTAACGCACCCGACTTCATTTGGTTCAAAGTCCATTTGGCCAACGTTTTGTGTTTCGGCTTGTTCCCTCCTTAACCTTGAAACGCCGCTGTTTCTGTACGCACACGCGCACGCACACGCGCCGTACAAACACCTTCTCAGTTAGAGGCGGCAACATTTTAAAACAGCGACAACTCGGGGGAAGGGCCTGAGAGCGATGACAAATGCTTTTGATCAGTAACAATGACATCAGGAGCAAATCTGAAAGGCGTTGTGAGTGAGTTGTGAATGAATCTTTACAAATGCATCAACCAGTGTGTCATGAACACTGGAAGAAGGTCACCGCATCTAGTGGAGGATCACGATGGAACTATTAAATAGCAAAAGTCAGGAGAGGAGGCTTCCACTTATTAGAGGAAACTGAATAAACAGGGAACTTGAATTTACTTCCTTGGGATCTTTGTTCAGAGTTTCGTAGTTGTAACTAATTTGGATTTTTTTGTAACAGTGACTTTCTAACAGGCAATTACGTGGCAATTACTTGTCAAACTGTGCCGGTGAAGGATCAGCGAAATTGCACAGCTTCTTCTGTTCAGAGCAGCTGCTTGGCTTCTTCTCGCAAAGAATCGGCTCAGAAATGAGGCGGGAATAACTGAGTAACTCGGGCCTGCAGTGACAACGTCGCGGACAGCGAGTCCGCCGCGGCTCTCTGCTTTACATACACCGGTCACGGTGCCGCGGTAACTAGAGATCAGCTCATTTGACCACATTTACATGTTCAAAACAACGTGCGTGCACACATACAGCCACATACGTGCACCGTGCGGTCGGCACACCGGCATTCCTGCGCGTCCGACCGCGAACAGGTGCATCTCTCACAGGTTGAAAATAATCTCTGCTCCCGTCGGTCGAGCTTTGCTTTCAAAGGGGAGGAGCCTCTCCGCACCGAGAGGTGGACTGAGTCGGTGAAATTAGCATCCTTTTGGATCAGTTGCCATGGTTGCCACACCTTGCAAATGTCACATTCTGCTTTTCGCCCCCCCCCCCCCCCCCCCCCCCCCCCCGCTTATGTTCTGGAGAATGTTGGCGCTTATAAACCGATATCATTGTTTTCTTCTGTGTGTGTGTGTGTGTGTGTGTGTGTTCTCCTGAGAAGGCTTTGGTTAAGAAAAAAGGTCAAATGATTTATTTAGAGGGAGATTTCGGTTTCAGCCAATTTGCTGGAGGAGCACTCAGCATGTGGCTCGAATAACATTCGGCCGGTGTGTGTGTGTGTGTGTGTGTGTGTGTGTGTGGGGGGGGGGCATTTCTGAATAGGAGCATGCAGTGCATGAGGAAGGCTGCTTCGGGATCATCTTAAATCAAACACACACTTTATACGCAAAAACCACACACACACAAGCACGCACTCTTCACACATCTATTTCCCCCGACGCGGCAGTTTTCTGTGATCACCGAGGCCGCCGCTCCTCCACCTCCGTCAGCACTATGTAGTCGGGAGAGACGGCGCATAAATCTGCAGCCGATCCACTGCCAGTGAATTGTGACCTCTGGCGAGTTGAAGGCGTGACAAGCGGCGTCGAGGCGCTCTTTCATCCCGACGGAGACGGACAAGCGGGGGAGGGAACGAGGAGTCGTTCCTTTTTTTTATCTCACAGCACTGTTTGGGTGAAGTTTGGAACAGCAACACGGAGCGGCGGGAAAACGTCTGAGAGCCGCTGGCGTTCGGCCTCATCACAAAGTAACCAAAGCCGGCCGCGTTACTACTAGCGGCTCGCCGGTTGCTAGGCTGCGGAAGAAAGTGATCCGGTTGTCTTGGCAACAACAATACCAACACTCGGGAACACTTCGGGGTTAGAAAGCCGTCTTAAACGCGTCGCTCGGATGCCACATTAGCATCGTTTGCGCTGACATTTCGATTTGATTGGTTTTTAGGAGATTCTGATTCATTGTGGCGTGAAATTGCTCTACTGTCGTTAAAAAAAAAAAAGCCAACTCATCACACACACACAGTTACCTGTGTTTGACGGGACCCCGTTCACGGCAGCATCAGACGCTGGTCTCGTTTCGTCTTCCATCTTCTGTCGGCTCGCATCCAAACGACGCAGGACGGATTGATTCTGGAGACTTCCGACGGGCTTTGTTGTTTCGGCCACGCCG